GGGGGGGGTGGAGAGGAGGGGGAAGCACACCAATATACTAAATTAGTTTTTTATTTGAACTTGGAAAAAGATAATTGTTGAGATGAACCTCACTGAGACTATAAGATGTTACACTCTGTTTTACCTTGGGAGAATTTATTTTCTAGGAGGGAAAAATAGAAATTAATGCTTCCATTCTCAGAACAGTTCACAGTGTGTGAAGAGCTGTGCTGTGACCTGCTGCAAAGCGCTACTGTCTACACGCAGCCAAAACAGGCCACGGTCCTTTCTGGACTCCAAAGGTGTGCTGAGTTTCTCACTGATTATGTGCACACCTGAAAGTCAAGAGTAATCCTTCCCCCCATTCCTAAAAACATTCTAGCAGTCAAAAAAAAAAAAAAAAATGAGTCAAGAACTTTACTTCCAAAATTATATTGCAAGGAGTGTCACAGTCAACAAATACTACACCCTCATTCTCAACCTGGAGCCAAGCCAAATGCCAACACAAACAGGTATCCTCTTTTGCCTACAGGGATAAAAAGAACAGAATCATAGTTCAGCCAAAGACTTATTTATTTGTAAGCTTGACAAAGATACCACCTAACTCAAACATCTTGGTAATGGTCTACTATATCTGAATTTGCCCACAAAAATAATTCAAATAAACTACCCACAGTATACGCCCTACTCCTATTATGTGTCTGTCTATGCTGATTAAAAAGCAGCAACTGGGGGTGGAGTGGGGAATGGATTCAAAAATGGGGTGGGGGTGCACTGGACGATGGTGATGGCACACAGGTGATTTGGTGACAGGACGTCCATGGGGATTACAACAACTGAGATGGAAAAAGGCACAAAATGATGTAAAAATAAACTATAGATTATTAAAAAGGGAAAAAATAAAATCAATAAAGGCAGAGATGACCTTCAAAAGAAACAGCAACAACTGAAGGCTGAGGGAAAGCAAGACCAAGACCAAACCTGAACATTGTGTAACAAGGAGTAAATTATTTTATTTCCCCTGTTCCCGTAAGGAAAGTTTTCCAAAAGGGAAGGCACATCAGCAAGGCCACAGCACACTTTATTCTGTTTACTTGCTCCCAAATCAAGAAAGAGAATCCCGCGTCATCTGACACGACTACTTTTCAAGGACAGCCAGGCGGGCGCCCCGAACACTCTCGGCCAGTCACCTCTTCGTCCCTCTCCCACAAACTGCTCGGGGATTACAAGGACATAGTAGTAGTTTTTTGTGCCCCGCTTGTTTTTCTTCAGTAAATCATGGTTAGTAGCAAACAAACTCCCAATCTACTCTATGACGTGTTAAATTGAAAGTATATTTATTTTTTGCTATTAGTTCAGAAAAGGAAAACAAAAAGGCATTTCAAGTCAGCCACATACAGTACCCCACTGATCTATAAATACTAAAAATCCCTAATGGTCCAGACACTAAATATTCAACTTTAAGACATTTAACAAAAAACTCGCATTTTGAAAAACCAAATTATCTTTTGTGTCTCCTTTTGCTAATGCTTTGCCACTCGATCACTTCATTGCCTCTACTGTTTTGCTTCTTTTTTTCTTCACCCATTTTCAAACACTAATTAAAATTTTCTGAGCTCTAAGTAGAACCAGAAAGGTTTATACCACCACCCACCCACACTTCCATTTATCTTAGAAGGGACATCTATGTTCAGATGATAATGTTTTCTTCTCAATCTCCAGCCCAAAGTATAGTGTTCAAAATCACTGCTCCCAACTATTTCCACATCACTGTGAATGCAGAAAAACCTAAATTTAGTTTTCAAAGTCTATGCCCATAAATTATCTGAGTTTGATAAAACCTATGAAAAAGGTATGTCACAAAAATCTCTCTCTCAATGATCAAGAGACCTCTAGAAATGCTTACCTAGTTTTTATACACATACAGAGACAAACTGTTCCATAAGCTTCCAATTCCGATAGCCATTTCCGAAAAAAAAAAAAAAATCACAATTCCCACAATAGGTCCTAATGAATCAAACAATGAGTTGGAAGAAAAACTACTTAGAGACAGAAAAAATATGCCAGATAAACTGAAACATACTATATGGGTATGAACACTGGGAGATTTCTATCTATAGAGTAGTTTGATTACCACAGAATTCCCAGAGAGCACATTTGACAGCGATGACAGAACAGATTTAAAAGACTTGGAGATACTTCCTATCTCCAGGTATCAATTTCCAATTCTGTTCCACCTTGTCCTGTTCAAACAATCTACAAGTCATCTATCTGTTAACCGGTATCAGGAAAGACTTATATCCCACTGGATGTTCTAGGTATTGCTGTTGTTTTAATTTCATCATGGCTGCTCTACAGAAACAAATGTGCCTTGAACAGGGTTTTTAAGTCCTAAGACTGTTCCGGCACCATTTGCCAGAGATTACCCAAAAGTAAAGCAAAGGCTGAGGTACTGCCACTCTCCATAAGGGTTTCTATGTGGGAAGGCAAAAAAAAGGTAACAGAGAAAAGAAAAGAAATCTGTCATCTTACCTTACAAACAAACTCTTCCATTCTTTCCATAGCATGGTGGGCTTGTAAGAGAGGGGACATGCCCATAAACCCCTCATCTTCCTGTGAAGCTTCATCATTGCAGTCAAGTTCCTCAGGGCTCTGAAAGTCAATCACAGAAACCATGAGGGACAGAGACTAGGACCAAATAAAACAATCAACTGTCCTTCAAATACAATGAAATTTTCTTAAGAAACAATGTTAAGTAAAGGCAGTTCATTACAGAACTATGAGTATCCTGAGAGAAGTGGCCCTCCCTGGTGGTGCAACAGCTAAGGGACGCAGCACTGCAAGCTGGCCGCAAAAATGCATGAAAGTTACTGAACTTTTACAGGAGCATATTCATGAGTAGCAAATTCCTCCAGAGGCTTGAAAGTTTTTTTGTTTTGTTTTGTTTTAAAGAAATATATTTGCAGACCACATAAATATACAAAGTTAAGAAATTATTAAGGCGAAATCTTTCTAAATGAATCCTGACAACCATCTTACAGAAATGTAAAACATCAAAAACCCATTGTCCTTCCATATTCTTGAGGAAATTATTAATTATCTAGGGAATGAAGGAAGAAGTGACAATCTGATGAGGACTTGCAGGGATAAACAACTAGAATTAAGATTTCTGCTTCCAGCTCAAGATTCATACTCATTGAGACGACATGATACTATGAGAAGGGCAACGAACGAAATAAGGTCAGTAAAGTATTGGAACTTTATACAGGACTTTCAATCTTTCTGAGAATTAATTTTCTCAGAAAGTTTAGACTTTTAAAACAATCTTTAAAGTCTTCCACATTCTCTAAATTCTGTGATTCCGTAACTCAGTGAATAATGACAGCACAATAATGACAGCACATAAAATCATGTAGAAACATAAAAATGTTTTCACTAACATGGTTATATGGAGAAACTATTAATTCCTCCAATTAGAAACTAATCAGTAAAGATAAAAGACAGAGATGATAGGTAATCTACCACAATACTTGAATGTGAACATGTCTAAAAAAGAAACTTTGGGATTTCCCTATTTATTTTTCAAGATAACTAGAGGTTATTATGTAGCACGTTAGCATGTGAGACACAGTATACACTCAAACTCAAATTTAAAACGCATAGATATATTTTCCAAGAAATCTATCTTGAATCTGCCTCTATTACTATTTCTATTATTGTTTCTACCAGTAAAAGAATTCCTCTTTACGTAATCTAAACCTTACCATCAACCTAGTTAGTCTTCAATGTCCAGCCCATCCTAATTACTATAACTCTTCCCTAACTACACCAGACTAGTGTTTCTCAACCTTTGTTCAGTATTGCCACCTGCTCTCCCTCCCCCTCCTCTGACCCAGGGGAGTTTCTAAATTGTTTCCCACATACCCAGAAAATTTAATAACACAAAGATATGTATATCTTTCTATGTACTGTGGCGCTTGGGAGGACTAAAAGTCACTGTCATATCTATTAAGCAGTTTTCACCAGAGAATGCATGACCTGACTAACCCATAGTAATTGCCTCCTCCTCTCAGCTTCCACTACCAGACTAGTCATTATTACTACTACTATTCCCTCAAAGACTTACACTACTCCTTACTTCTGAGTCTTACTGCTGTTCCTTTTGCCTGACGTCCTTTAATCCTTTCTCTTTACTGACCCTGAAATTCGAGTTTTACCACCCAATATCCCCACCTGCAGATAGAATTGCTTCCATTCTGGGCTCCCATAATGGTGGTACAAAGGGTTAAATCACAGCACTATGAAGCTCTCCGCAGCAACTGCACCACCAGTTTGATTCTCAGCCAGGGCGCTAACCCACATGGAGTGGCAGACTCTCCTGACCCGTCCGCTGCTCCCCTCAGCAGTGTACATCTCAGTCTGCCTGTTCTGCTCCCCACTCTGTCTCTGGTGAATCTTCTCACCAACCCCCTGCACCTCTACCTATAAATCTTCAAAGTAAATAAAAGAATTGTTCCCATGCTGTCCTGTGTATATAATCATTTGGCACTTACCAACAAACGTGCTGATTTACTTACCTGTCCAATTAGATTGTAAGATGCTTAAAAGCAATAAGTGTCTTACTTTCTATTCCCAGAGTTCTAACATACAGTAAACAAACAAAAAATATTTACAGGGCCTCCCAGGTGGCACAAGGGATTTAAATCTCAGCACTATGAGGCTATCCCTAGCCACTGCAGCATGAGTATTTTTGAAGTCTGTCTGGGTTGTTTCTAATTTGGGACTATTATAAATAGTATGGCTATGAATATTTTCATATTTGTCTTCTAATAAATACATGGATACATATCAATAATTGCATTTCTATTAACTGTATATCTAGGAGTAGAATTACTGGATTAGGAAATGACCCTTTCTTTTTATGTCAGAAACATTTAACAAACCCTCTATGTGACTGCCTTATTTTTAATCTTAGTTTGACTATGAATTTAGTTCATTTTAGTGAATCTGTATTTTGTAAATCATTATAGCACCTACATGTATTTAAAAAGCAGCCAACGTTATCTATATGTAAGATAGTGTCTGGCTGGGAATGAAGGTGCTACTTAGAACAGTGTAATATTCTGTAGCTTCCACTTCTTCATTCACCATGCTTGATCGGCATTCCCAGTGATAATATGGCCACAGTAGTATTTATCTGATGGAGGCTATTATGAGGATCTGACTATTTAATTTGTAAAAGCACTTAAGTCTAACATGCAGTTAAGTGCACAGTAGAGCACTGCCTTAGCTGGTCTTCCTTTGTACCAGTGCTCAGCCGATGTTAACTGCAGCAAGCCCTGGTAAATGCACCCTGAACTTACTCACCTGTCTCCCTACCCTTGACATCAGCAGGCTTTTTACAAGTCTGTCATCTTAGTACTGACCTCTTTGTTGGACCTTACTGTTTCAAATTAAACTGATTTAACCTGCTCCTTCCCTAGATTTTCCTTCTTATTTCATATTTCCTATTAAGCAGTACAAACTTTTTTATTCATGCTTGATTCCTAAAGTGTCAGAGTGGAAAGAACACCAAATAACTTAGTTTAGTAATCCATGCACACAGTTATTCATCCTATAGATGTTTTCAAAAGATTTATTTATTTATGCATATAAGGAGGAGGGTGTGAGAGAATTCACCAGAGACAGAGTGGGGAACAGAACAACTGACTGAAACACACTGCTGAGCGGAGCAATGGGAAATCAGGAGAGAGGTCTGCTGTGTCATGTGGGTCAGCTCCCTTGGTGGGGATTGAAATAATGTGGTATAGTCATTCAAAAATAACTACAGTGCAAAGAAAATGAACAATCTATAACTACACTTAGTGAACAGAAATTAATCTTGTAAACATGATCCTAGGTAAAAGTCAATATCAGAGTACATATTCAAAGGTCCTAATGATACAAGGTAGGAGAACAGGTAGAGCTCATCTATGACTTCAGAAATCAGCATAACATTAATTCTGGGGGAGGGGCACTGACTGCAAGGGGTTACTAAGGGGGCTTCCAGGCCGTTGGTTGTACAGCTATGTACAGTTTCATAAAACTTTATCAAACTATCCTCTTAGCACATATGCATTTGTGTATGTATGTCATGCTTCAATGAGGTCTTTACTGCTGTTTCTTTTAAGGATCCTCCCACTCAGAAAGGCTGGAAAATAATCCAAGAATCAAATCCAATCCCTCTGCCCTCCCAGCCTTTTACCAAACTGCTTCTCTGAAAGTCTCTGATACACAGAAATGGCTTTGCTAAATAAAACCAAACATAACAAAAGTGATAAAAAGCCATTAAATAAGAATGAAAAAAAGATACCAAATTAGCTTAATCAATGAAAATAACCCTCATTTATTCTTTATATTCTCTTAACAAGAAAGAAAGTTAAAACTGACAGTGGGGCGACTACAAAAACTTGGAGGTTCAAATAACATCAGACATCACTTAGTTCAACAATTCCATTTCAAAATGAGGAAAGGGAGATCCAAAAACATTAAGAATACTAGCCTGGCCCTCCCTGGTGGCGCAGCAGGTTAAAGCACAGCACTAAGAAGCTTAAGTCACTTCTGCATGAGTTTGATCCCCACGTGCCCTGGAGGTGTCCACATGGCGCAGCAGACCTCTCCTGACCCGCCCGCTGCTCCCCTCAGCAGTGTGCTTCATCCATCTGCCTGTTCTGTGCCCCACTCTGTCTCTGGTGAATCCTCTCACCCTCCACATCTCTGGCCTGTACCCCAGTTCTGTACGAATAAATAAATAAATCTTAAAAAAAAAAAAAAAAAGAATACTAGCCAAAGTCACACAGTTGACTGGAAGTAGGGCTGTAAGCTGTAAGTTCATGCATTCATTTCTCAAAGATATTGAGCAAATACAATATTGCAAATACAATTAATCATTTTAGGTGCTAGGGAGAAATAAGTTCAGGTGAGTGAACACAATAATAACTAAGTCAATTTTTAAAAAGAAGATTATGAAGCTTAGTAAGAACAACAAAGAAATATAAAAACAGGGATGTGATTAACTCTGGACAGACTGTATGCCTTTCTACCTTGAAATTTAAGTGTTTACTTTTGACACAAATGTATACTTCCTGTGGTGTGTTGCATCTTAAACTTTCTAATCACAGCAGGCCTTCAAATAGTTGTTTCATTTAACATTGTTTTACTCTAATTCTGATGAGAAAGAACAATCCCAGGAAATAATGAATTGCTTTCTCGGTTTTGCTTGAAATCAAAGTTTTCAAGAGCCTATCACCACAATGAATGAGAACTTACTGTGCTAGTAATGACCGTATTCCATAAAACCACTTTAGGAAATGAATGAAGTGGTATATGCAAAAGGACTTCGAAAATAACTTTGCACATTATAAGATCTCAAAAATTAGAACTGTAACTTTTTCTGAAAAGTAGTTAAGAATGCACAATATCTATCATAAGTTTATCATGCTAAAGTTTCCCTGCACATCAAAATTGTATACCCCAATGTTCTCTCCCCATACATCTCTTTAATGAAAATACTTAAGATAATTTAGATGTAGAACAATAAACTAGTTACTGACAAATTCATTCAACAAGTATGTTATGTGCCAACCATAAATCAGAAATCAGCTGGAATCTGA